CCAAAGAAAACTCTTATTAGGCACATGCCTAATACTTCTTCAATGAGATGGACATCATCAATGAGCCTCTGTAAATACTCCAGCGCAGGTCCATCATAATACATTTTTGCTCTATTCTTTCTGTGTGTTGCCATCGTCGCTCCTTTTGAGAAAAAAATTAGGTTGTCACGTATGCCATGCTAACTTCTGAAGTTTCTGACAGAGAATTGTTGCCGCTGTCACTATGTGCGCCATTTTCGAGATATCAAACAATGCAAAACTAGAGGAGCTTTGATGGAAATTGCTTTTACAAGTATATCTTCTGTTACCCTTTACTAGACTCATCTCATTGTAAGAAAAGGAAAAACTGAGAAAAAAATAATTAAAAAAAAAAGAAGAAAAAATAGTATTCTGCTATCGTATTTGCTGTGCGGGTACATCTCTCAATATCTAGACTTCTATCTCTATTTACCTGCAACTTTGGAGTTCACCTCTTAAGTTTGATCTCATGCTAAATTTAGTACCAATCAATTATCTGTAAACTCGGGTGATAGATTTTGCCATTTATTCTGTTTCTTTCAAGTCATAACTTGATAAAAAGTTTGAAAGTTATATGTTCACGATGAGTTATCCAAAAGTGAAATATTTGTAACTTGTAATAATTAAAACTCAATGTAGTTCTCATAAAATAACTTTTTACTATAACTTAGATCCTGAGACCGATAAGTACAAACTCCAAGATTTATATGCATTTTTTTGTACTAATGAAGATGCTCCTCTGCCTATGTAATATACAACTATATAATATTTTTTAACAAATGCACCCATCGTAATCACTGACATTCATTCATAAGGTTTTCTTAACGATTGATTTTTCATTTCACTAGCTATACTTCTATTTAGTCTTTCCCTCTTTAGAACAAAGCCTTTTGGCATCAACGTACACGTTAATAACTTATTCTTTAATCAAAGTTAACAAAACAGATAATTTTTTCCAATTTTTCCTGGGATTGGATACTTCCTAATTACTGATTGTATAGACTCTGCTCACTGATAACAAAGAAAAGCTTGATAGTTCTTCAAATGACTAAATATAGCCTTCTTGAGGCTGGTGTCATCTTTTTGGTTGAAATTCATATCATGGCAATGTTGATAATTTATGTATTCCTACATGGAGAGTATTGTCATTTAGGGATGAAGGTGCTTTGTAACAGAAAAAGATCATGTCTGCTTCTACGAGTCAACAATACACTAATATCTTATTCTACTTATTTTATGCTGATACCCTCTAACACCAACAAGCTTAGAGTGCAATCGAACCTTTGACAGGGCTAACCGCCTAACAATATTACCTACATCAAACAACAAAACATAAAGAAAGTATAAGGTCAAATTCTTCTTGAATTACTGCTCTTATTAAATTTTGCTTGTTTCACTGTTAAACTGCCGCCTTAAAATTTTTCTCTTTGCTTATTGTTTCTTCTGTGTACATTTAAGATCTAAAGCTTTTTGTAGTAATAATATCAATCCAACATTGTGGAAGACATCAGGTTCCCTTGTAGTTTCAACATTGCAACAAATAATCAGTGGTATACTTCAAAAGATGGAGTCTCACACTTGACTGTCTATGCACCATTCTTCTGCTTCTCAAATCTTGCTTTGTCATTGCCTTGATTCTAAACTTGATATACCCACCCTTATTTCAGTGTTGCTAAAGCTTATTTGACATAATACTTTATCATCTTTGTTAATAATAATGCTAATTGCTGCCATCTTACACAGGCTTGTGAAGGTGCTACTGGAAAGCTATAAGTTTTTGTGTAACATATGAATTAGAAATAGAGGGATTAGAAAAAACATCATTTATGTAGTAGCTATCTATGGTCTCCTATTACTCTGTAACATTTTAGCAACAGATCTGTATCTTCTCTTTCTCTTCTAAACACAAACTCACCTTCTTGCTAACGACAGTACAACTTTGTTCAGGTTGGGCCCGGGCAAAGCTCGGGCTACCCCACTAGTGCGTTATAAGCCATTTGACAGCTACTAAGTTTACGGTATTCTAAAACTCCTTCTCGATAAACGGAATAAAGAATCTGAAAATACAAACAACAACATACCCAGTATTATCCCACCCTGGGGCAGACCTTACTCCTACCTTGCAAGGATAGAGAGATTGTTTCCAATAAACCCTCAGCTCAGGAAAGCATAAGCACCACATTAATGAAAATATAGACAAGAAGGGACAGTACCAAATATATTAAATATCTTATAGACATGAAAAATATAGAGCTTTAGAAAATTTCAAACACCAAGAAACTACGGAAGTCCTCCTCTGAAAGAAACTTGAGAAACTGTGCTTTTATTTCAACAAACAAAGATATTTATATCACCAAATCAGCCAAATCACAAACTATTATTACAGGATTCTGAAACAGAGAAAGTAATGCACAAATTCAATCAATATGAAGTTAGCCTGCATATTGAACAATCTTTTTCTCCAGCAAATTCTTGTCAGCACCTACTACTCTGTCAACCTCCTTGCCGTTTTTTATGAAAAAGAAAGCTGGAACACTACTGACGTTCCATCTTGAAGCCGCATCTCTTGCCTCATCTATGTCAGCCTTTAGAAATGCAGCTTTTGGATATTTCTCAGCCAAGCTTGTGAAAACTGGAGAAATGAAACGACAAGGCCCACACCATGTTGCAGTAAAGTAAAGGATAGCTAGACGCGACGCTCTTGAAGCAACATTTAACTTTGTCTCCAGTTCGCTCACAGAATGGATACCAATAATTTTTCCTGTATATAACAAACAAGTAAACGATTGCATAAATATGTAAGCTATTCTAAACCTCAAAAATGAAAATGGCACTACTATGCAGCATGAAACACACTTTTATTCATCACCTAACAAGTGATTGTTAATGGAAACCCAAATGAAAAATGAGAGAAACAAATTCTCTAGAAGAGATTAGGCATTACAATGTTCGGGAAATCAAATTTTGAAAGGCAGAGAGATACTAAAAGACACAAACTTCGTCAGCCAACATGCAATTTAAGTTACAAATAGTACATGCTCTTTAGCTTCAACATATAACCAACTGCTCAACAGCTTCTCCAAAACATCATCTAGCTGCTACCAGCAGCCTTCTTTATAATTTTCCTTCTCCCTTGAACAAACTATTCATAACCAAAAATCCAACCCCCTCCCCCGGCTTCCCAGCAGTCAACAGAGCTTCACC